CCCCTTCTTGGCTCGTGGATCCAGCTTACCCTCAATAACATGATAATAAGCAACACAACCAAAAATCTTCAAATTCGAAAAATTAGGCAACTTACCACTCCAGATCTCAAACGGAATTTTGGAATCAATTCCAGAATGAGGACCCCTATTAATGACATAACAAGCTGTTAACACAGCTTCACTCCAGTACCTCCTCCCAAGCCCTGCATTAGAGAGCATGCATCGAACTCTCTCTAGCAGTGTCTGATTAACCCGTTCTGCTACACCGTTCTGCTGTGGTGTCTTCCTGACAGTATGATGCCGACCTATACCCTCATCTGCACAGAACTGATTAAACTCGTCTTTGCAAAACTCTAGCCCATTGTCCGTTCGTAGCTTCTTGATCTTCCTTCCTTGTCGATTTTCCACCAAAGCTTTCCATTGCTTGAAAACTTTGAAGGCCTCATCCTTTGACTTAAGCAACCTAAGCCATGTGTATCGGGACTTGTCATCAACAAATGACACAAAATAGTGGTAACCTCCCATACCTTCAACTCTAGATGGACCCCAGCAATCTGAATGGATGTAATCGAGCACTGCATCAGTAATGTGAGCACCCTTGCTGAACTTTGACCTGTGTTTCTTACCAAACACACAATGCTCACAAAATTCAAGGTTGGCAACCTTGACCCCGGATAGAAGACCCCTCTTGGACAATAGCTGCATCCCCTTCTCCCCCATATGACCAAGCCTCATGTGCCAAATCTTAGTCATCTCCTGGTGAGATACAGATGCGCAAACCGCAGAACTAGGCAGTGTAACACCCTCAAAAACATAGAGGGTGTTCCTTTTGATACCCTTAAGTACCAACTCAGAACCTCTGAAAATACACAACTCCCCATCTGAAAACACACCATTGTACCCCAAGTCATCCAGGGTACCCAATGAAATCAGATTCTTTCCTAAAGCAGGAACATGCCGTACATTAGTCAAAGTTAACCTCCGCCCATCAACAGTCCTCAACCTCATGGAACCAATACCTGTGACCTTACATGGAGCATTGTTACCGACTATAACCATACCCCCATTGCGAGGTTCATATGTATCAAACCAATCTCGACGTGGACACATATGGAACGAACACCCCGAATCTAGAACCCAGTTATCAGATAAATCATCAGACCTAGCAGAACTGACTAATGCTAAATCTTCCTCTGAATTATAGCTCTCATTCGGTTTCTCTTCAACTACAGCAGCCTGGGACTTGTTTTTCCTCACCGGACAATTATTCCTAAAGTGACCCGGTTCTTTACAGTAATAACATGTTTTAGTAGTAGTTTTACTAGATCCATCCTTGCCGTTTCCAGCACCCGACCCAGCATTGTTCCCCTTGTTAAACCCCTTATTCTTTTTAGACTTTCCGGACTTAACAAACAACCCACTACCATTATCCCCATTATCACTCGTAGCTTTCATTCTGAGTTCCCTAGTATGAAGTGCTGCCTTCACTTCTTCTAAGGTTATAGAATCCTTACCAACAACAAAAGACTCTACAAAATTCTCAAAGCTAGACGGTAGAGATACAAGTAAAATCAACGCAGCATCCTCATCATCAATTTTAACATCTAAATTACGTAAATCAAGCAAAATAGAGTTAAGTTTTTCTAGATGTTCCCGTAAGGAAGTACCTGACTGCATCCGGAGGCTAAACAACCGCTGTTTCAGTAATAATTTGTTGGTCAACGACTTAGTCATATACAATGACTCCAGCTTCAGCCACAATCCAGCCGCCGTTTCCTGATCAGCCACCTCCGTGATGATTTGATCATCAAGACTAAGTAATATGGTAGAGTGTGCCTTCTCTTCCATAACTTCTAACTGCGGGTCAGTCGGTCCATCTTCTGACTCCGAAGTAGTACTCTTTGGAGCCAACGGACGCCATATCTGCTGTTGTTTTAACAGAGCCTTCATCTTAATTTGCCATAGCCCGAAACTATTTTTCCCGGTAAACTTCTCAATTCTTATTGTTGAATCTCCTGCCATTGTTATCTTCAAGAAACTCTCCAAGGATTGAACCTGAGCTCTTGATACCAATTGTTGTGCGACAGCGGAAGCAAAGGTCGAAAACAAACAAGAAAACAATAAAGAAATTCAATGCAAACAATAAGAACAACACCAAGAATTTACGTGGTTCACTATCGATGTGATAGCTACGTCCACGGGCACCGAGATCGAATGATTTCACTATAAACTGCAAAGATTACAAAGATGATTCTTGTATTTCTCAAGAACGGCTCTCACTCTCTCTCTCTTAACCCTTATACTAATATTAGGGAGGTTTTATATTAATCCCTAAAATAAAAGATACTTGGGCAAAAAGATAACATAAAAGATAACTTTAAATCGTAAAATCCGCGTCTCCGCATTTTTCCTTCTCCGCCCGGTCAGACCGGGCAAGGTCTGCCCGATCGGGCGCGAGAAGAAAACTCCATACGAATGCTTCAACGTATCCAACCCCCACCGCCCGGTCAGACCGGGCAATGTCCGCCCGATCGGGCGGACAAAGCTACGAAGTACGAGTCACCTAATACTTATCAACAAGCATGTTTTTTTGTTATTTGAAAATTGAAACAACGAAAGGTAAAGAAAGGCGGGGCATATGATCCGAATTTGGTAGGAAAGGATGTCTGATGGAAACCATGGGCGGGAGGACAACACATTTCGGAATTTTAAATTTTGGACTACTCTAGTACTCTTGGGCTTATATAAGTCATGTTCTTAAAATTTTGGACTAACTCTAGTACTCTAGTACTCATGTAAGTCATGTTCTTAAATTTTATGCCACTAATAATTTTAATTTTTGACCTAACATATCATTTGAACTTTTGAAGTGTTAAAATTCGACTTGATCGGTTCAAATTAGATCTTGACTCACATAAACATAATGGTTTAAAATGATTTAAGTTTGAAATAAATCCGACCCAATTTCACCTAATTCAATCCAGACACTTGAATTGACACCTCTAGAGGCTTTAGTCCTCTAGCCACAAGACGAGCAATGCCCAGTTAATATTGCGTATTAACGAAATATGTTAATATAGTGGCAATATTGCAATTTTGAGAGTTTGCTACTATTATTTTATTGCTAATTTATTTTGCTGCTGAGTTGGCAGATAACTTCATGTTATCAACAAAAGTTAACGATTCTTTTTAATTCTTTGATCTACCTGTTATTCCGTATTCACAACTCAACTGAACCCTGTTGTAGAAACACCATCTTCTTCCTCTCACACCCCACCATCTTTTTCGTCATCGTTCACCGCCGCCGTCGTATTAAGCGGAAAACCCTAACAAATATGGAGAAAGAAAGGGTATGGTTAACCCCAAATGGTAGGATTTGTCTTCCTCCTCCACTGAACATATTTGTGTGCTTCAAATTCCATTGAAACTGGACGACAAAGGACGATGATGAACACACTGTCATTGTACTATTACAACCCCTATTTAAACGCCGGCATTTGGGAAGTTAACGGTCCTCACATGTTTACAATTTTGCCCTTACTAAAAAGGTGGAAATTACCGATGCGCCCTCATATAAACGAGACTGGTTAATATGCCATATTAACCAGACTTTTCTCCCACGAGACCTATATACATTTTTATCCAACAACAGCACAGAAGAATTGAAACTCTATTTCAAGGTTTGTAGAACTTTGTACATTTGTACTCCATATGTCCCAAATTAGTCAGACCTATTTGACTAGTACATCTACTAAACAATTAACTTACTACATACTCCCTCTATCCCTAAATTTTTGCCCCATTTGATTTTTTACGATTTCCAAAATGCATCTTATTACGTTTTTATTTTCATTTTTATACGTGTAAAAACTTGGAGTATAAAAACTAGATATTAATAGAATATATAATGAGAGGAATCCAACAAGATCCCATATGATTATATTATTTCTTATAAATTAAGAATATTTTACAGTCAAAGATTATGAAGTTTGACCCAAATTTTTGCAATAGAGCAAAAATTTACGAACACAAAAGGTAGTATTTTATTTAGTATTAGTACTAAATTTAAATCAATAAGGGTTTGTTCACATTTACTAAAATAAGCTGAACTGAACGGATTAGAGCTGAATTGAACTAAACTATTAGAGCTACACTCAACTGATATTACTATTTTATGAGAGAAGGAAATTATGAGCTAAACTGAATTGAACTGGACTGATTGGAGCTAAACTGAACTAAACTGAATTAAGGTGAAATGAATAGGCCCTAAGTGTATGTAATGTCGTCTAGACGTCTATGTATGCTTTCACCTAATATACATCGGTAAAAATAAATTACCTTTAATGTATTTTAAATGAACAACTAGTTATTGACCCAGACGATGCCCCGGATCATTATAAATTCATAGGTTTGATCAAATTAATTTAGAAGAGTTAATGTTGAACAGTATTACAATAATTAAATGAAAATATAATAAGAGATTATATATATAAAGAGTTTTCAATAAAATTAAATACTATTATATAGCATTAAAGTTAGGCCAATGAAAAGTTTTTGTAAAATAGACTAAATATCAATAGAATTCAATATGGTGAGAGAAGAGGAGTGACACATAGGGTGACATGTAGGCATGTAGTGCACAAATGGCATATGGATTACTCATGTCATTAACATGTTGTCCCATGAGTTTTAATGTATTATAGATAGATTCAACATCACTACCTCACCCTTTGTATAACACATGTGTTTTGTGAAAGTCATTGCTTTTATAATATCTCCAATAATTTTTATATCACCTCCATTTTTTCTAAGCACACAAATTAAAGGGAATTTGATGTAGTGTTGAAATGATAACTTGTAAGTAGGTAATATATTTACAAGCCTCTTGTCAAATGCACAATTTTAATTAAATACCTTTATTTGTATTTAGATTATATATGAGCCTTTTAAAGAGGTAATAACTTTAATTTCAATATGAAATATACTCAACAATAGGCCATTCAGAATTTCAGGCTGCAAACTTCAAGATGAAAATGACTTAGTAATTGGTGAATCAAACTAGTGCTTGATTACACAATTTAGACCCAAATTGAAAGATAGAACACGCAGAGAATACTGTTTCTCTTACTAGCTTTACAGACCATAAAATTTGGCTTTACAAAACAGCAATGTGCCACATTGCCAACCAAGAACTCCAAAAACCCATACATGATTTGTATATCGAAATTAAGCACTACCTTTTAGCAAAAATAAGCATACTCATATATGATCGAACACTATACACAAATCAAGAGGAGCAAACGAGAGCATTTACACCATAATGATGCTATCCCCCCTCTGCAGGATTTAGCATTTAGATCATCCTGAAATTCAAAAGTATCAGAAAATCGATTGAATCAAATGAGATACTGTAATACAAAACCTTGTATGAGCATGCATGATCACAAAATATAGAGTGAGAAAAACCTTCCTGTTATCAGTTTGAATAGTTCTTCTAAGCCTTGACTTCCAGCTCTTTTGACATCAATTTAGAAGCAAGCCTCTGAACTGCACTGATGTTTTGACTGTCAAGGGTTACAACTGATCATCCAGGATCCGGAAATGTACATCCCATTGAATATCTAAGTATGAAAAGAAACTATATGTGCTGTAATAACAGCGACTATAAATGCAAGGATATCTTTTCTTCATAGATGGGATGGTTCAGCATCAGAAGATTGTTGTTGTTCACAAGAGCTCGGACCAGTAACTCCTTTGCTTCCTCATGCTTCTTTTTCAACATGTTGCAGATCTGTAAAGCAAACCCAACAACCTTGATTTTCATTTCTCAATGCATAGCATTAGACACATAGAAATATTATAGATGGAAAAAAGGAGTTTGGATGCAGGTTAATGCTTCGTATCTCATACAAGAGATATTTTGAAAGGCGATTGTGATCAATTAAGGTCTTGAATGGTGTAAGCTAGTATCTTCGATTAGTCAAGACTCCTAAATACTCCGTACTGTATGATGAATGTCATGCAGATAGTTAACTTTAATTGCCCTCTAACCGCATGCTAAAATATTTAAATACTGATAATCAACAAGTCATGAAAAACAGTTGCTGAAAATAAATTTTCATTCACTTGTTCTTAGTGGTAAGCAACCCTGGAAAATTATATACATTGGTCTAACCATTGAAAAGAAGACAGTGCACAAGGAATGTCAGTATCAGGAAAAAGAGTTCCCTTAGAGATGTGCCATTCTAAATCGAAAGAATTATGAGCCTGGGTGTACAAAGAATATATGTGGAATTGGTTCAACAGTAGTGCCTCGACCATAAGTACAAACAGGTAGAAAGAATATAATATAACACTACACTCAATTTAAAGTTTACGTGTCAGGATACTCAGAAAGGAGTACAGGTACTTCAATTAACTACAAAACCTTAAGAGAACTTACTGAAATATGCATGAGTTTAATCTCCAGTTTAATTTCCCTGTCAAACTTCATAATCTAAGGGCAAAGGGCCAAAAAGAAGAAACATCCATCATCTAGATTCAGTAAGATTTAATCTGTGATACTATGATAGTATGTTTGAATATGGACGGGAAGGAAACCAAAGGGATCCATAATTCTTCACTGGTTGACAAACCAAATTCTTCCAATATTTAAAAATTTATACAGGATAACTCGATACTTCTGTTCCCATTCCCATTCCCCTTCCCCTTCCCCGTCCCCTCCCCACTCTTTTACTCACCTCCCACCTTCCTCTATGATCAACCAATCGTCAATAAGTAGGCTTTCATGATTTGGAGGACAATATACTCAGAAATGATATACTTCTTGCTTTGGCTAAAGATATGATAGAGACCATAGGCAATCATCTTTATCCAATTTTCAGATCTCTGCTTTTTCCTTCTCTCCTTTAGAGGCCAGGTTTATTAGATTATTGAATTGCTCTTATAGGTCAAATTCACTGCCAATAAACTGAAAACAAAACTACTTACATTATCAAGCTCTTTTGCACATGCCTCAGCTTTTTCAATATTTGCATCGTTCTCCACCATCAAACTGAATTGGAGGGCAGCCATGTTTGTCTCTTGATCAAACTGAAACTTAGGGGTCTTGTTCTCTTGCGAAATATTCTTCGTGCTTCCTACCACAGAGTTAACTTGAGTTTTAACCTATACACACAGCCAGGTAATGTTTGTAAGCATATCTAATCACATAGATCTACTTTCACTAATTGCTTTTCCCTTTAGAAGCAAATACTAGTAAAACATTTTAAACAGAATGTGTAAGAGATTACCCCATCTTCAGGTTCTCTGACTGACGCTTGAGACATTCTGTACATTCAAACAAATTGCAATTAGCTAACAGGAAACAATCTGATATGATACCAAGATAGTTTAGTGTGCTGCACCTGCTTTCATTAGGTGAGAAGCGTTTTGGTGTATGAAGCTTTGGTGGACCCATATCAGCAGCCTGCCAATTGTTCTATGAGTTACTAAGAATGCTTTAGTAGGGGTGTCAGAGAGCTTGAGATAACATGATTATGGAAACAACCTCAGATGATTTGCGCTTCAAAGAGGGAGTTGGAAGTTGTTTCACTGAAATAGTAGGGGACACCATCTTAATCATTGCTTGTTGTGGCCCTGTGCTTTTCTCAACAATTCCCAGAGATTTAACATTACTTAGCATAATGGGAGCAGCTGGATGTTTGTCTGTAGTGGTACGCCTGTAAAAAGAATTTTCCAGATAATAAGTCTGCAGAAGCAGAGGCATAAAAGAAGATACAGGCAAAATCAGCTATTAACAGCATACCTTGTAATTTTCAAACTAGGAAGAGCAAACGTTTTCTTGTCAATTCTCTGGGACGAAAGTTTATTTCCTTGACTAATGTTTAATTTCTGAGTCAATGCAATGCTTGAAATCTTGTCTTTAAGATTACCTTGCCTCTGGTTGCCAAATTTAGTTCCCTGTTCTGGTGGAGTTGATGAAGGAATTCTAAAGCTGCAGGACATTCAACAAGATACCCCAACATAAGCAGAACATAAAAGCAATCCATAAGTTTCCTTATCATTTTTAAAGAAGCCAAACTGTTGCTAATATCTGTTTGTCACATAGAAATAGTTACATCCAAGATGCTAAGTTAAAAGATGACAAATCTGACAGCCTTCAACATAAGAAAATAAGCAACAGGCCTAGATATCTCATTATCAGGTTTTGGAGGAATTTATTGTGATTGAATAACAATATACAATCAAAGAGAGGAAGGATAGAAAAAAAATTGTATGCCAGACCCCGTAAGTTTTTAAAAATAAATACTTAATTGTTAGGACCAATTAAAAAAATATGGAGGAAACATTGAAGTTGTTGTCAAAATATTATGAAGGTTAATAATCCCTCCTTAATGTGACACAAATTTCAGGAGATCACTGGAAAAAGTTGAGACTGAAAATTAGTAGAGTAAGCAAGTATTTACTGAGGTATTTGTAATATTGCTAGTGATGCTGTGATTTTGGAATGTAACAATGATAAGTCTTACCCAGAAGAATTGATAGTGTTGGTCATTTTCTCACATTCCAGCGAAGGGAGTCCACCATTTGCTGCTTTTCCACTTTGTGTCTCTGTATCAACACTCGCCTCATTCTTTTCTTCTCCATTTACAGTGTCGTCATGGTCCCTGATCAAATTCAAATCATTTAAGTATAACGAAAGAAACTTCATGATAAACTTAAGGAGACATGATCAGAGTCAAACGTCATAGTTTGTAGTATAGTAACATCACCTAGAAGGAGTATGAGCAGCAGCATCCTTCTCACTTTTTTTAGTAATTGAATCCGATTGAATCAATTCTTTGGTACATGAACTTGGACGGTCAGTTAAATCCTTTACATTTTGTTTGCTGCTTCCATAACTACAACTAACAGAGACACTACAATATTATTAGGACTTCGAAGTAGCTACAAAAGTTGAGTTCTGACATTACAAAAGTTTACCTTCTGCTTACAGCATCAGGATGTGTTGAGCCTTCTCGGTTACCCTCAGAAGCTGAAAATTCTGTCCTGCCACCCTCATTTGTTGCTTGTACAGCCGGAAACTTTGAGTTAATAGCTCCTGGAACTTTATTCTTCAGTAGCACTGTTTTTGCAGAGGTTGGTCCACTGGACAAGGTAATTACCACTTAAGACATCGATGCAAGGTGTGTCCCACAAGCATCATATAATTCAGCATATCATAATGTAGTGATGATGTTAGCCTCCATACCTCCCTGGACCCCCCCCCCTTCTCTTTTTATAGCCAGATAGAGAAGGATAAACATTGCACATACCAAAAATTGTTTATTTAGAAACCACGCTCAGAGGTTACATTGGCAAGTCATATTTGCTAGGCCTAACACCATCCCCTCCCCCCCCCCCCCCCCCCCCCTCCCCAAACAACCTTTTTATACCACAGTAATTACACCATTCCACACACTCTCTTGTACTTTATTCACCTTTTTCATACACCCACAAACCTTTCTATACTCTCTCTATCTCTCTTACTTTATCCTACTTTCTTTTACACCCACTCACTTTTTCTAATTTTTCTTAAATTAAATAATTAACTGAGTAAAACATAAAACAAAAGAACGGAGGGAGTACAACTTAACACAACTATGGTAATTAAAAAATAAATCTACAGATTAAAGTACCCAAGCAAATTTTCCTAATTAACTATCCAAGTTATATTAGGATAATAGGAAAAAGAAACACCCAATGTCATATAATTTCCACAAAGCTTACAACTTGCTGCCAATTTATAAGATGTGCATCATGCCTTCCATCCAACAAGAGTCCAATGAGCACAAATCTCCAGCTCCATGGAAAGTAGCACAAACCATATTCCAAGAAATCACACTCAAAGCATTCGATCCTCACTAAGCATATTGGGTTTAATCTTAACAGCATGAAAGTCAAAGCATTGATCAGCATAAATTTAACGAACCCCAAAAAAAAAAAAGGTGGCTAAACCTGTCATATGTTGTTGATGAAGCCTTTGAAACTGGCTTTTGCATTTCGGCACTGGATCTAGCAATGGAGAACATTGCCTTTGTGTCACTAATGTCAGAAGTGTTAACAGCATCTGAAGAAAGCTTAGCACTACCAAAACTACCACCATGACCATGCTCATTCTTTCCATCACTAGTATTCATTCTGTCAATCATGTATTGTAGTGAAGAGTTTAGTATCAATTTTTTTAATAATATCCTAAGAAAATAATAATGACTCCTTTCCCAACACAAAACAGAAGTATATACTATGAAGTGAGTTCATAGATACTTACCCATCAGAATCAGAAGTATAGGTGAACTTGTCATGCTTGTCTTGATGTTTACCCTTGGCAGAAACCTCTTCTGAATTTTCCACCATCTTTGTGGATTTATTTGGGGATTTAGGAAAATCAACATCTGGCATATTCATCTTGAAAGATGACATCTTTCCAAATGCGTCATCAAGAGAAAAATCCATATCCCTGTAAGATATATATCATAAGCACAAACAGATTGACTAATGTACTAAAGAACTAGAGATTATGTCTGAAGCAAAGTATCATCACACTTCCACAAAATATATATGCCTATAACTTTATAAGAGTTATAACTTAGAAAAACAGTATACTAGAGGACCTGAATCTACCCTGAGTCCCTGACTATCAATATTGCAAGTGATGCATACAGAATGTTGATAAGCCTTACCCAGAAATTTTGACATTGTTGGTCATCTTCTCACATTCCAGTGAAGGGAGTCCACCATTTGCGTTGCCATTATGCTTCACTGTGTTAACACTCACTTCTTTCCTGTTTTTTCCATTGACAGAGTCATCATGGTCCCTGCTCAAATTTCATGCATACAATTTAAGCAAAAGCAAGTTCATAATAAACTATAGTTGTCATGCTTTGAAACAAAGGTTAGATTTCGGAGTATAGTGGCATCACCTTGGAGGAGTATGAGCGGCAGCATTTTTTTCACTATTCTCCATAACTGAATCTGATTTAATCAGTTCTTTGGTACATGAACTAGAATGGTCATCTAGTTTATTCCCGTTATTTTTGCTGCTTCCATGACTGCTACAACAGAAACTTAGCAACATTATAAAGAAACCAAAGTAGCCAGAAGAGTAGAGTTCACTACAAAATTATGAATTACCTTACAACACTTGTATGTGTTGATTCCTCTCGGATATCCTCAGAAACAGAAAGTTCTGTCCTAGCACCATCATTTGTTTTTTGTACACTAGCTGCAGAAGTGTTTATAGTGTCTGAAGGGAATTTAGCACTACCAAAACAACCACCATCACCAGGCTCTTTCTCCCCATCATTAATGTTTACTCTGTCAATCAGGCATTTTAGTGGACCTTTGAGTTCTTCTATAAATGTCCAACGCAATTGATAATGATTTCTTTCCTGACACCAAACTGAAGTATATACTATGAAGAGATTATAAAGATACTTGCCCGTCAAAATCGAAAGAAAAACTGAACTTGTCATGTTTGTCTGAACGTTTTCCTTTGGCAGAATCATCTTCTGACTTTTCCTTTGACTTTTTGGATTTATTTGGGGAATTAGAAAAATCAATATCTGGCAAATCCATCTTGAAAGATGGCATCTTGCCAAATGCGTCATCAAGAGAAAAATCCATATCCCTGGTAAGATATATATTATAAGCAAAGACGTATCAATGCTGTATAAAAATAAAGAATAATTCACAATTGTTGTCTGAAGCAAAGTATCATCACAAGAAAATTGAACGTTTGTGATTTTAATTGTAGTTGTAATACTTGTAAACTAGAGGCCCTGAGTACTGACTATTAAAAAAAGTAAAAATGGCAACAAATTTATAGTACCTCCATACCAATTCTAAAAGTAAAATTCCCAACGGGACATTAAGATATGCAATAACAAGCCAGAAAAGTATTATTCCAACATATTACTTTGATACTTCAAGAAGAAAATTATTATTTATTCATTTAAAGTCAATCTGCCTCAGGAGTTCATTGTGGCCATTAACCTGTATGAAGAATACAAATGACCTGTAAAACTATCCCCTATTGATCTTTCTAACAAAATGATTTTAAGGCTGGCAAGAGGCAACACAAAAGAAAAACATAACAAGTAACAAGAAGATACATCATAAGATTCATAACGATATACCTGGACATTTGTCGTCATCAAGACAGAATTAATAATAAACAGTTAAACACAATACTATTTCGACAAAACTTACATGCCAAAGTCGAATGCCTTTTTCTTGCCTTTGCTGACTGGCTCAAAGCTGAAGTCCATATCATCAGTGCCTGACTTCCATGAACTAAGAAAATCTTTAGAGAAGTCCTCATCTGTATTGAGTTTGATCAAACCAACGGTTTGTTAGCATGAAAGAATACCAGATAACCAGATTTTTTTTGTCAGTGCAACAAAAGTACTAAGAGCAGAGATATTTGCAACAGTGAAAATGACAAATGAAAACAAAAACAAGAATTTTTTTGCGGAGATTGTCTCTGAATACTTCCTAAGATTCTCCCTGCTCCACTGCCCCAGTGCAAAAAGAACAAGTGTTTCAGCACCTATCTTACTCCATTTGCACTCATTCAACTAATATATCTAACTCATCATGAATTGCAGCAGTATCCTCAACAACTACACAGATTCTTCTAAGTGATAAACAGAAATCATTTTGACAATTTAACTTTTTCTAGAACTACCACAGACACATAATCATCAAAATTTAGGCTGAATGGGATAAGGAGAGAATGATGTAGCAACTAATAAATGTGGTAGAGTTTTGGAATTGGCTGTAACTATTGCACATAAAAAAATAAAAAATAAAATAAAATAAAAAAAAAAAACTTTAATTCCAGCTGACTGGAAGAGAAAATTTCATAAAAAAAAATATATTCATTGTTGGTCTAAAATAGAGCAACACATACTTTAATCATTTTGCATGGGATTTCTATTGAGGTTATATGGAGAAGCCCTACCAAAAAACTATTCTTCACATGACAGAAATCATTTCCCCATTCCTTTTGAAGTAGCCATTTTCAACTACTAAAGAACTCATCATAGTATCATACTATTCATTAATAAAAAGTAAATAATTATTATGGTACAATTTTACACTGCATTTTCTTATGCAATAGGTACTAATATATGCAGTCATTGCAGCAATACGTACAAAATGCTAATAAAGTGCACGCATTTAAAATTACCTAGCAGTGACATTTTCTCTTTTGCATTCCCAGTTGAAGAATCTTTCTTCTCTGATTCTGCCATCTTTGTTATAGCACTGGTTGAGATTTCCCCTGCATAAACATATTTAAGATTTTAAGGTAATACTAAACCGACAAAGCCAGGCATCAGTAGTTCAGAAGATTGATTACAGTCAGCTATTCACTGTTTCATCTTAATTTCATTACATTAAAACAAAGGTGCTTGCATCGAAACAGGATTCTGTCTTGACGATAATATTACTTAGATACCTAAAACTTAACTCAAAGTACCATGTGTCCCTGTCACAATTCACAATTTTTGGAAAACCTGAAAATCATTGCAGTTTAAAGACTTCAACCTAGGCAAAAAACAGCCACAGCAACCCCTGTCCTTCAATCTAAGTTTGTATCCAATTGTTATCCAAAATCTGAGTACTTTATACAGTATAGTTCTCTCTGTGGTCTTCTATAAGTGTCTCTTATACACAAATTACAAAAAAAAAAAAAAAAAAATAAATAAATAAATAAATAAATTCCATTGATATCTAAAAATAATACTGCACTGATAACAATTGGGTACAACCGTGGATTGATACAGAAGTGACAAATACTCAGAGCAGTGCATTGGTACTTTTTTCTTTTGGAACAAAGTAGTGCATTGGTACTTAGCACATATTATAAGGACTAGAGGAGGTAATAGAAATACATTCAGACTCTATAACCTATCAAAGCAAAAAAAAAAAAAAAAAATATAAACATCATTATTACCAACATTCAAGCACAAGTTTCTTCAAAATCAAACTCATCTACTATAACAAAAGAGCATTTGAAGTGTTTCAAAACATTTATCATTAAGATTGTCAATGAAGTGTATGTGCAGCTTTTATCTACTCGTACATACTGTCGTACAGACACGTCCTCCATCTATATCTCCTCTTCCAAAATAAGTACAAAATGCAAATCCTGAAGCTCAATAGCCTCAATTAAGTTTTTCAAGCATGAAACAAGCAAGGTATGATGTTTAAAATTTTATGATTATCGGAGTGGATCCTAAAGTATTTTCTCGTTTATGTACTCGTGTTCTACAACTATCTTCCTATCAAGGCCACAGCTATGAAAGAACAGCATCAAGAGAATGTCATCAATCTTCGAGCACCAATAACATAAAGGAAAGTAAAGGATATGTAATGCACAAAATGTCTTTCACCAGATGTCATCTATCATGGTGAATTGGTGATTAGCAGTAACAATCTACGCTCCTAACAATCTTCTACAATGCCTATCTACCTACAAAATTCCTCAATGCGCGGATTTAATGCATTCAATTCGATAATCATAGACGTAAAATTGCATAGTATAATATCTTTGATCATCACGAATCTTCAACTATGACATGAAAAATCTCAGAAAAATCTTCTTGCTTAACAATATTGACATAAATTACATACAGCAAAATTCAAGCAACAATTTCTCGTTATAAGCTTTCGTAATTTCAGTAATTACAACTAATTGCTGAAAAATTCACCTTAGAAGAACCCTAAATAGACAATAATGACAGTTAAATTAGCATTAGGATGAAATTAAACCCTAGATTGTGAAATTGATCTTCGATTATCAAAGAAAAATTAAAATCTTACTTCAGAAGCTGCTTCAATGGTGGAGAGAGAGCTCGGAAGCTGCTTCAATGGAGAACTCAGAGTAAGCTTTAATGGAGGGAAGAGAGGAAGGCAGAGGTGCAGCGTAAAAGTGAAGCTCTAGAGAGAGAAAAATGATGATATCATTCTAGGCGGGAAATTTATAATTAATCTCAATATTTTTAAGCAAGAAGAATCTAACAAATTGTAAGCCAAAAAAATCTCAATATTTTTAAAAAATCAAAGTGGCATTTTCATAATTACGGCAAATTGTAAGCCAAATGATCAATTCACAATCTCAGATGTCAGAATTGAAACCTAACAAATTGTTTTGTTTTGTTTTTTTTGTTTTTGTTTTTTTTTTTTTTTACAAAAGAGCTATCAAATAAAAGGAACAACAACCAAAAACAATTGTCAACCCAAAAAAAAAAAAACTAAAACTAAAACAGAAAATACAACAACTGACGACGTCGGGCACAACCAGCCAACCAGTGAGCAGGATTGACCCACAAACGAGGAACTTTTTGAACCTGGCAAACTAAAAAAGACTAAACCGAAGCCCGCAACTCCTGAATGAGCCACCAAGCAGAGATTTCCATTGAACCAGAAGGAGGAAGAAGAGCAAGGAGGGCAGCACAATCTGTATAAATCCGGATTTTCAAAAAACCTTTACGAATCGCAAACTCCAAACCCCATATACAAGCCTGAAGCTCAGACAGCAACGCTGAACTAGCCATAAAAGCCCGACAACCACCTCCTAAGACCTCAGATGAATCAAGATCACGGACTACCCAGCCTGCACCCGCCCTATTAGTAGAACAATCCCAGGCCCCGTCTACAATCAAACATGTCGTTGGAGAAATATAAGGTAACCCCCGCAAACATAACCACTTGACATCCTGCTTGGCCTCCAAACTAATCGAACAAGAGGACCTCACAAGCCGCTTCCAATCTAGAGCATGCATATTACGAAGAACTCAATCTGACGCCAGGCCAACAATTGACCCAGGCGACCAAACTGCTTTCCTAAACCTCAAATGATTCCGAGAAATCCAAATCGCCCAAAGGAGAGCAAATAACGAAGCAATACCCTTCCAATTTCTCGAAGACGAAAAGAGAGAAATTGTTCTCGATAACCAAATACTAAATGGAGGAAACTGCATAAGATCCCATTGGATGTCCAACGCTCCATATAGCCAAATAGTACAAATAGCAGGACAATCTCTGAATGTATGAGACACAGATTCCACATCCATATGACAAAAGGCACAAACTGGATCAACAAGGAGACCTCGAGAATTGAGAATAGACGCCAAAGGAAGCGCGTCGTATAGCAATTTCCATCCTGTAGGGAATATTTCAAGCATTATCCATAGCTTGAACCCCACTATGATCATACACTAAAGTACGGTGGCATCCAAAGGGAAAGAAGATAGAGCAAAAGAGTCGCCAACAAGTTTTAGGAACTTGTAAACCGTTCATAAGGTGAAGGTTACACCCCTTAACGATTCAGGAGATCGTCAACTCCAATAGGTCTGGAACCATGACTGGTAGTTCGGGGATGAAGGTACAAATCCAACCTAAAAGAGATAAAATCTGCCCTAATAATAGGCCTCTACTTTATTCTGATCGTATTCATGTGCGCTTTCTGACTAACATGCAATCAATAGGTTTACCCTAAACCTGTTTATCTATGTTGGTTGAATATAAATGCACAAATAAAACTATTATTGGCGGTCACTTGAATTATAATCAAATTAACCCTAAACAAGATTATTAATTATCTTATTAAGCGTGATTACAAGTACAAATTCCCTTTAAACATGCATAAAAGGTGTGATCAAGCAATAAAAATAAATATCAAGCAACATAATAACAATAAATTATAATTATAATCATAATCATAATTATAATTATAATAATCATGTTAAAGCATAATATTAATAGCAAGATCCTAGGCATGATACTAACAAGATTAATAACAAACCCTAGCATGTCACTAAACAATAAAAATCAAAGTTTTAACCCTAACATGATACTATCAATCATAAAAATTAGGAAGAACATAGGAAGCATCATATTTTTAATCATACTTGGTATTAAAGTTACCCTAGACATGATACTAGGAATCAAAATAACAACCTAAGCATGATTTCTATATCATAAAATCATTAAATCAATTAAAGCACTTACTTGGATGCCTCGTATCTCTTTCTAATAACAAAATACACACGTTAGTAACTTCAAGTAAAATAATAAACAACAATTAAATTAAATAATTAAAATAGAGATTTGGGACCAAACCCTCAGAAATTAAAACCTTTCACGTCTAGGGCGAAGGTAACTTCGAATATGGCTAGGTGTATCTAAGTCTTGTGAGTGCGGAATTTTGTATTTGAGAAAAGCCTAATTTAGAAAAGAGAGAGAAAGAAAGTAATCAAGAATTCTTGATGTGAGTTGGTGAATCAAAACGGAGTTTTTAGAAGGCTATTTATAGAGAAAATCAGCCAAAAAGATAAAAAATCAAAACAGAGTTCTGACGCGTAAAACCAGAGTTAGCGCCAGACGCTGACATTAGCGTCAGGCGCTAACGCTATTATTATAATAATGTAACAAATTAGTACAAATTAAAAAAGTAAAATGTTTTATTGACTCATGACCCGACTCTAATTGACAGTCAATTAGAGTCGGGTCATGAGTCAATAAAACATTTTACTTTTTTAATTTCTTTACATAAAAAAGGTAACAAATTAGTAAAATATCTTCCTTTTTATATCATTATTTTTCACTATTATTATAATAATGTAGTATTACTATTCCCCCCAAAAAAACATGTATTATGTGTTATTATTAAGATCAATATGTATTTAGAAATTGTTAGACATTATTATTAATAAATATTAAAAAATTTGTATTGTGAATTTTTAATTATTATAATTTTTAAATATGTACTTTAATTATTATGCACTTTAATTATTAAGTATTATTAATTATTGTTTTATTGATATTATTAATTGATATTAACCCAGAGCAGAGCAGAGCAGATTAAAATCGGCCCATAACCTATGATTAGTTTTTAACCCCTCACATGACGAAAATAAGAAAGAGGCCAAAAGCAAAAATCATCCAAAAGCTATCTCCTTATCTGGCCTTATCCTATGCTAAACCCAGCCAATAACCAGTCACTTCTCAATTTTCATTTCATGATTTTCATGGTTTAGCCTTCAACACCAACACACTCTACTCCTCCACTCCAGTCTTCCTTCCCACTGCCATGGCTGGATTGCTTGGATCTTCCTCAACTGCACTCTTTGCTTCTCGCCCTCTTTCTTCTTCCTCCCCTAAACTCTCTTCTTCCACCATTTCCTCTACCCCTGGTATTTTCTATCTCATCCTAATATGAATTTTTGTGTATTAATTGGCTTGATTTGGTAAGAATTGAAATGGGTCTTCTTTGTTAATGCTGGAATTTTTGTTTTTGCAGTTGTTTCTGGGAAATTTAATTGGAGAAAATTCTATGGTGGAATTGGGATTCCTGTGAAAAAGAATAGGTCTCAGCTTCAATTTTCAGTTTCAAATGTTGCCACTGAAATTAATTCTACTGTACAGGTTTGATTCTTTTGTTGTGCCATTACATATGATTTCAATTTTCATTATTGGTGTTATTGAATGTGACTTTAATTTAGTGCTATGGAAAATTTGAAGGAATTAATCATCATTTTGGGTGTAAATTAGCTTGAAATTTTGATTTTTGTGGTTTATGGGAAACCAAAATTGTAGTTGAGACTAAGAGATCCGACCCCATTACCACCCCTAAATTTAAATTTGAATTTGATTGATTGATTTTATACTAAATATATTAGGGTATTGTTTTTCATAAGCTATATGAGTTATGTATTTAAGGTACTTCGTATTAAGTTGGGAATTTATGAAATAATAGCGGGTCATTTGGTGATAATATATGTTAGTGTTGCACATTTCTATTGGAAGTGTGATTGAATGCTTGGATCATGTTCATAGACCATAAATATTCCTTTAATGTTGAATTGAATGGGTATTTGTTGAATTAATTGATAGAGAATTAGTGATTGTTGGTGGTGTTTAATATATTTGGGATAGGCAGTTTGATTAATTATAAGCTAGAAATTGAAATTTCTTGTTTGTTGTGATAAGAAAATTTTCAGTCAAATTTCTAAAATTGTTCATTATTTAGGCTCCAAGGGTTGCAACAGAAAGCCAAAGGCCAGTTTATCCATTTGCGGCTATAGTCGGGCAAGATGAGATGAAACTCTGTCTTTTGTTAAATGTTATAGACCCTAAGATTGGTGGGGTGATGATCATGGGTGACAGGGGTACAGGTAAATCCACTACTGTTAGGTCATTGGTGGATTTGCTCCCAGAAATTAAGGTTGTTTCTGGAGATCCGTTTAATTCTGACCCTGAAGATCCCGAGTTGATGGGTGTAGAAGTAAGAGAAAAGGCCATAAAAGGAGAAGAACTTGCTGTTATGTTGACTAAAATTAATATGGTTGATTTACCTCTAGGTGCTACCGAGGACAGGGTTTGTGGGACCATTGACATTGAGAAGGCTTTAACTGAGGGAATTAAAGCGTTTGAGCCAGGACTTCTTGCTAAGGCTAATAGAGGAATACTGTATGTTGATGAGGTTAATCTTTTGGATGACCACTTGGTGGATGTTCTGTTGGATTCTGCTGCTTCAGGGTGGAACACTGTGGAAAGAGAGGGAATTTCCATTTCACATCCTGCTCGGTTTATCTTGATTGGTTCAGGAAATCCCGAGGAAGGAGAGCTTAGACCTCAGTTACTTGACCGTTTTGGTATGCATGCTCAAGTTGGAACTGTAAGAGATGCTGAGCTTAGGGTAAAGATTGTTGAGGAGAGGGCCCGCTTCGATAAGAATCCTAAAGAGTTCCGAGAGTCTTACAAGGAAGATCAAGATAAGCTAACAGACCAGATTACATCTGCAAGAAGCAACCTCTCTGCTGTTCAAATTGATCATGATCTCCGTGTAAAAATCTCTAAAGTCTGTGCTGAATTGAATGTTGATGGTTTGAGAGGTGACATTGTGACAAATAGAGCAGCAAAGGCTTTGGCTTCTCTTAAGGGTAGAGATAAGGTGACTCCTGAGGATATCGCTACTGTTATTCCCAATTGCCTAAGACATCGGTTAAGGAAGGATCCTTTGGAGTCTATTGATTCTGGTTTACTTGTTATTGAGAAGTTCTATGAAGTATTTAGCTGAACAATGCGTATCCTCTTTCTGCCATTACCCTATGTCCTTAAATTTTGTCTACGGCTAGTAAACTATGCTTCTTTCCTAGTGCACGCGATTTCTGACCTGAGTGAAATATCCAATACTGTAATATTGTTGATTGAAACACATTCGGAAATCTAGGATTCAAAGTTACTTTATGAATATACTTCGTATGAGATTCTAAGGGATCAATCTATTGTTCTGCCTTGTAAATGAATACTGTCATACTGCTTGAAGATAACTCATATCTTAATCTTTGCTTCTTGAATTGTTCCTAAAGTGCAAACTATCGTAGTGCATTGATACACTCTCATGCCAAGGAATTCAGAGAACTCCTGCCTTAGTTATAGGTGCTGTTCACTTTTTCTTTCTAGCAATGATTTTTCTTTCTTCTCTAAAACATTTCCTTTTTTCTTCTCTTTCGATGCATATGCTGTATAAACCAGTGTTTTTCGGTTTTGATAATAAGGATTTTACTCTTGTTTATCTGTTCTATAATTCCATGAGCCAATAATTTAATTTGGAAATAAGTTGGTAAGAAAATTCAGATTTAGACCGCAGTAGCAAAGATCAATCCCAATGGCCTCGAATCCTCGCATAATCCAACCCTTCCTTTTTCTTACACTTCTGATTTCCTGTTATTAAAGCTGATCACACTCCAAAATTGAAAGATGAAGCTCAATCAGCGATGATGGTGTCTACCTAGTGAATTAATGCAGTAGTTTTCAGAATTGGGGAAACATTTGGACAACTGATAAACATCTCAAACAACAACCGATTGGGTGAGTTGCAAATACATTTACGGTATGACTAAACTGTTGTTTTTCTCAATATGATGGTCTTTTTAATATGTTAATCGTAAATTAATCAAACTTTTTTCGGGTTACCTTATCCTTTTGTCATTGTTTTTAAAATCAGAGTAGATTAAAAAAAAAAAAGTCAACAATTGATTTAATTCAAATGCTTCCAAAAATAATACTACCTCCGTCCTCGAAAGATTGACCTATTTGACCTAATTTTAGTCCCAAAAAATGACCCGTTTGCATTAAATATCCATTAATTTGCAATAATATTTGTGCAAAATTAGCATCCCCATATAAAATTTTGTTTCTATATTTACTTTTATTACTTTCTCTCTCTACTTTTTTTTTTACAAACCCCATGTAAATTTATCTTTTCAATATATTTTTACTTTTTTTATTTAATTTTCTTAATACCCGCGAAATCAACCCAAATGGGTCGTTCTTTCGGGGACGGAGGGAGTACGAAGTAGCAACTACCTTCCTTATTTGAAGTGGTGTATTTGTTGGAACAATGTTGCAAATCATAGAAGAAGTCAAATTTTGAAAAGATAAGCAATTTTTTTTTTTTTGAAGGCAAAAGATAAGCATAATTTAATATCGTAATAATTAGAATTTCTATGTATATTTAAGATGTAAGATATCAACTATAATTAGGAATGTCATCAAAAAAAAAAAAAAAACTATAATTAGGAAGGTTTTTTTTTTTTTTTTTTTTTTTTTGGAAAATAAAATTTGTAAGGGTTATCTACTTTCCTTGCGGTCCAAGATATTGTGGCCTACAAATACTCATGTTCAAAAGAACCCTGATTCTTTCAAAAAAAAAAAAAAAAAAAAAAAAGGAACCCTGATTGGTCAAGAAGTGTAAGAATTTTTTTTCCTTCAAAATATCACGATGAAGATCGTCCATAAGGATATGGTTCTTGGCGGCCCTGGCAGCGTAAAGATGATTCCGGAAGAAGCAGAAGATCTGTGGGTTGCATACAATTTGATTGCTGAAGGTGATCATGTTGTAGGCGTTACTGTTAGAAAAGTAATGCGAGAGACGGCTTCTAGAGGGATGGATGCGGAGCGAGTGAAACTCAAGTTAGAAATCAAAGTTGAGGCTGTGGAATATGATAAAGAAGGTTCTGCTTTACGAATTCGAGGCAAAAACACTTTGGAAAACGGGTATGTAAAGATAGGTGCGTTCCATACGATGGAACTCGAGCTGCAACGGCCTTTTGTCCTGAGGAAGAATGATTGGGACTCCTTGGTGTTGGATATGCTTAACCAAGCAGTTGATCCTGCTGCGAAAGCTGATCTGGCTGTGGTGTTACTGCAGGAGGGACTGGCACATGTGCTTTTGGTTGGTAAAAGTGTAACCCTTACGTGTGCTCGAATAGAGGCCTCGATTCCTCGTAAATATGGACCTGGTATTGCAGGATATGAATCTTCCTTGAATATGTTTTTTGAGAATGTTTTACAGGCTTTCTTGAAACATGTTGATTTTAAGGTTGTCCGGTGTGCTGTTATTGCAAGCCCTGGATTCACTAAAGACCAGTTTTACCGTCATTTGTTGCTGGAAGCGGAAAGAAAACAGATGAGATCTATAATAGAGAACAAGTCACGCATAGTTCTCGTGCACACGACTTCAGGATACAAGCATAGCCTAAAGGAGGTTTTGGATGCACCAAGCATAATGAATATGATTAAGGATACAAAAGCCGTCCAAGAGGTCCGTGCCCTAGAGGACTTTTTTAATATGCTATCAAATGATCCGGATCGAGCTTGCTATGGTCCTAAGCATGTAGAAGTTGCTCATGATCGGATGGCAATTCAAACACTTCTTATTACAGACGAGCAGTTCAGGAATGCTGACATTGCAACACGGAAAAAATACATTAACTTGGTCGATTCAATTAAAGACTCTGGAGGAAGTGTTCATATATTCTCGTCAATGCATGTCTCAGGGGAGCAATTGGCACAGCTGACTGGTATTGCAGCAATTCTTCGCTTCCCTCTCCCTGATCTTGATGATATTGAAATGTGAAAAATGTTGAACAATTCGAAAATCATCTATGCACTGTAAAAATTGTTGCTGAAAAACGTGTACTCTAGTTCTGTTACCGATCCCTTTGCTATCAAAGACTTCTCTTTGTAGTTGTAGTTGATTTAAGTTCCGGAATATGATTCATTAATTCATGTATCATCCCTTTATTACTGATGATTTTGACTATTTGTGTTTGTAAACTTTTTTTGTATTATTTTTTTTGCACAAAAAGTATGTGTTGCAATGTTTAGTAATATAAATCTGTTATTAAAGCATTTATCAGAGCAGAAAAAAGAGCAGTATTCATTAATTTGATTGGCTTTTGGCTAAATGCAGAACTCAGGCTGTAATATCCATGGGTTTTAGTTGATTATTACAACTGTTAAGCTTCATTAGAACTTAGAAAATAGACCACTGTTCAGAATCACTGAAGGTTGATGTGCAGTAGCCAGGAAGGCAAAGATTGAGTTCCGGATCACTTATAGGTGTGTGAAACGACGAAGATGATTCGTTGTTTGGAGCTTGAAAAAATAATGGCTCAGAGTTTGATATAAATGGATGCTCACCATATTTTGAAGTAAATTTGGAGTTGAACATTACCATTCTTGAATTCTGGCCATTTTTCTCCATCTGCTGAAAAGAAGGCAGACTGCTATGCTGTAGGCCTAGAGGGGTTGAGATAGTTGGATGAGCAAAATTTTCTGAGCTGTTTTCCATTTGAATGCAAGGCAAGATCATGGAGCTGTCCATTGTACAATTATACATTGATATGTTGTCGTACGAGTTGTGGAGATTAGGCGCTCCATAGTCATCTCGGCTTGATATACTTTCTGGTAGAGGATCAACCTTGGCACCAGAATCTTCTCTACCTGACATACTTTCTGTAAGGTAATATTCACTCTGGTAAAAACTGTTTTGAGCACCTAAGTGAGTGAGGTGCTTAGATTGTTGTTGGAAAGAGTTGTCAAATAGCTTATCAATTGAACCTTTGGCCTTACTGATGAGCCAATCGACTGCTTCAGTAGCACGATCATAGCCAAGTCGATCTTGAACATCATAAAATTGAATAGCAATGTCTGCTGACAACCGAATCCTCCTATCTCTCGGACCTCTGGCTGTGTAGATTTTGTTGCTGCGACCCTTTCTTGCTGATGTTGTTCTCATTGTACGTTTATCTTGCATTTCAATAATTTTTCCTGCTGAATCATTAATGCAATGTAGATAATTAGCAGTTTAGCACTCTTCTATTCATAGAAAAGATGACTAATCACTCATCAGCTTCAATCTCAATATATATACATTTATATGTTCCCGATTCTCTAACATAAATGTTACTGGTACTTCACATAAGTCTCCATCATTTCTATTTTACTGTTTTCTCAATCTAGCTTCTACCCTTAAGGCTTTTAAATATAGATGATACTTAGACTCTTCTACCATGCTGAATTAGTACTCGAGTCAACATGTGAATGCTTTAACAAAATACTCAGCATTCCTGTTAAACTTAACCAAAACAAAATCTAGGAAAGAACTTGAACACAATTCTTTAGATATCTTGGCTTTTGTAGGCTGTGACAAGATATAATCAGTAGGGATAAATAAAATGTTTCTCGGAGAAAAATAAAACAACGAAAACAAAAGAAAACGAAGAGAGTTGAAAAAAAAAATCTCTTAGCACATAATGTTTGAACTAAGGGGAACTTGTGGTTAGTTGACAAGACAGTTTCATCTAAAATATCTGACAGAAAACAGTTTAAGTCGACAGTATTAAAAGGCAAAGTTCAGTAACTAGTACCTTGTACCCTTCTTCTAGGAGTAGTCAATTTTTAAGCAATCTTCAATTTGAAGCATGATTCATGTGACATGGGCTTGGCATATTGAAGATTTTAATTTATTGATGATATAAACTTTATGTTGTGGAGGTTGATTGGCAGAATTCTTTTTTGGGTCGACTGAAATGACAGTTCTAATTCTGATTAGTGATTACTGCATTCTGTTATTTTTACTGTTAGTAATTTTTTCCCTCTTGTATTCCCTCAACAACTAGGGATGGGCATATGGGTAGTCAGAATAAGACTCGGTTTGGGCCAATACAGTTCTTATCATATTTGAGTGTTGAGTCATTCACTCGGTTTTAGGCCAGGTGGGGTCTGTTTGAGTCGGGTCATATTTTTCAGTTTTCAATTTTTTTTTTTAATATGATAAATTAATCAATGTTATTCAGGTTAATTTCGGGTATAGCTAGGGTATTTCATATAAGATAATCGAATGTGAGTCAATTTTGTTGGGTCCATCACCAACACTACCAACAAGAAGAAAAAAAAGAGGAAAAGTTCACTGCTATGCTTTAACTTTCAGTTATAAGCAGTGGAGCAAATTTGATGTTCATTAAAGGGAGATTCCTAGGTACATATGAGAGTGACATCCACAATAGCACCATGTGAATGTCCTTTGTTGCTTGGCTTAGGACGAAGGGCGTTTGGTACAGCACGCTTGTCGGTTGCAGGGAATGAATAGAGGAGAAAGATGCACTTTCTACAGCTGGAAAACCATATTGCTGTACTTCCAATACTGAAAGGAATTAATAGTGTTGCCGGTGTTGCTGTGTATGAGTGCATGCCCTTCTTTTTATTCAGACAATTTTTCGTTGCTCACTTTAATTTACTGTAGTAGATTATCAGGCCTGTTTCAATTTCAAATGTGTGCATAATATATATCACAAAACTCGCAAGGTTTACTAATTAATGTCAAGCGCATACAATACACTGATAGCAGTAGTTGGATTAGCTGCTGTAGCAGCAATGCTTATGCTTGACCGCGGTTGAGTCCAGAAGCATCGATCAAGCTAACGAGCTTCACTCGAGCCATCGGTCAGCAAGGTCTCGTACATGGTTATCAATAATTGTGGTATTGTAGGGAGGACCAAAGTTACAATTTTAGCTTGAATGATTACGTTGTACGTTTATGTGGGGTTATGATCCTCCCGCGTGTTACCTTCGTCCAATGTCCAATTACTAATGTTGCTGTTTTCTCTAGTTTTGTTTGCTTTGTAATGCATAATGATGACCAATTTCCAAGCTTCATCATCAGTCAATACCCTCTTTTTTTACTTGTAATTTTAAAGTGATTAAAGGTCCATCAGAAACTTCATTGCTATGCACACTTTCCACACAATATATGGAAAATTTGTTGGGAATTCCATGTGACAAAATTAAAAGCATATCTAATAATTCGGAGCATAGCAGACTCTAAGTAATACAGATTCAGGAAAATCACACTCTATAATTAGTGTGTTATCAAATTTTAAACCCAATATTCTAAATTTCTAATTAAGGTAAAACAACTTCCTTATCATTTAATCCAATACTTTGTTAGTAACTTTTGATATACAAATTGTTTTATATTACATGTTACTTATTTTGGCTACTTGCATCTACTCATATTTAATTTGGCCCAGTAATTGATGTTGCATGCCACAGAAAAATAAACAAAGTGACTAGTATAGTATTATATAATCTGACAAGTATTTTTTATCCATCAAGTCCAAAGTAGGTAAAAGTTAAAGGTAGAGCTAATCAAAGTTAGCCCGATCTGAATTTAGACGGATTTTGGGTTGCTTTTTCTAAATTTAGGTATGCACTCTTATACTACTATGTTTTTTTTTTCCTTTGGCAATGTTCTCCTCAGCATAATATTTGGTAGAGATAAGAGGTTAGAGTAGTTGGCTATTTCTCCGATTTTCAAGCCTGAGGTCAGGGGTCGAATCTTACCAAACACATTTTAGGAGGGATTTTTCTCACATCCCCCTTCTAGGATGGACCTTCTCCTTATCTTAAAAAAATACATAATACTCCCTCCGTCCTTTTATTAGAGTCTCATTTTTCTTTATTATGTGAGTAATAAATGTTAGAAATAGGACTCTAAAAAAAGGACAGAGGGAGTATTTGGTAAACTTTGTATGTTTATGCCAAAATAAAAAAAAACACTTGTACTAAAATTAATCGTTTTTATTGAACTTTTGGTGAACTACTAGACTAAGGGCCTGTTCCGATTGACTGAACTAAACTGAACTGAACTGAACTTATTAATTAGTGATTTTTAACTACGGATTAGTGATATTTGATTATTTATTGATTATTTATTACTATACATATGTGTATATACAAATGTACATATTATTATTAATAATATTATTATTATTAATAAATATTATTATTATTATTAATTATTGATGATGATTATTATTATTATTTATTATTTATTGATTATTATTATTAGTATTATTATTATTGTTATTATTATTATTATTATTTATTGATGATTATTATTATTATTTATTGATTATTATTATTAGTATTATTATTTCAATTATTATTGTTATTATTATTATTATTATTATTATTATTATTATTATTTATTGATGATTATTATTATTATTATTTATTACTTATTGATTATTATTATTATTATTATTATTATTATTATTATTATTATTATTATTATTATTATTATTATTATTATTATTATTATTATTATTGTTATTATTATTGTTGTTGTTGTTGTTGTTGTTGTTGTTGTTGTAATAAGAGCTTAAAAGAATGAAATTTGGCTTTATATCATTAGCAATATCATTAGACGTAAATTAAGAGTTGAACTGAACTGAACTGAACTGAATTTCAACGGAAGAGAACAGGCCCTAATTTTCTTTGCCATACTTTATTTTTGCATAATTTAACTTGTTACTCTCATTTTAGTTTATTTGCCAAAGCTTATTTCTAATAAGTTCAGAAAATTTAATTAGTTAGACCCTTTTTTATGTTATTTTTACTAAATTAAAATTATTATTTTTAATTATATTATCATTATTTTTTTAGTGCTATGAGAGCCATAGGGGTTATTGACTACGTATTAGTTAGCTATTAAATTTTTTAATTTTTACCATTTTAAACTTATTTTTACTGAATATTAAGCATAATTGTTTTAAGGTGTAGAGAACAGAGCTTTGTTCACATTATTTTCACTTATTTGTTTAGATAAGGCCAGGGTTAGTAAGATTACGGAAGATAGTTCAATTAAAAATTGATAACGGCAACTCAAATTCAATCTACATTTAAACTAAGGCCTTTTTTGGTTCACATGGGGAAGTAACTTCCCATAGGAATTTACATTTTATGGGATTTTTTTTTTCCTTATTAGATCATTTTCCTAAAAATTAAGCTAAATTGTTTAAATTGCATTTCCTGAAAAATTCAACTCGCCAAGGAAAGAGTTGGGGAGTAATTTCCCATGGTTTGTGGGAATTTGTATGTCCTTTGGAATGGCTATTTATCATATCATCCTCATCGCCTCTTCTCACAAGCTTCGGCTCTCCATCATGGCAAAACTCAAATTTGAGTTTGCAATGAAAGACCTCGACATCCTCAACTCCTCCCTCGGCATCTCAGTCACTCACCATCCCAATGGTTTGTTCCTCTCACAGAAATCCTATGCCGAGGAAATAATAGCTCGGGCAAACATGTCATCCTGCAAGCCGTCATCTACGCCAGTTGACTCCAAGGCAAAACTAAGTTCCACCTCGGGCCCCTGTTAACGACCCTACTCTGTACCGCAGCCTCGCCGGTGCCCTCCAATATCTTACCTTCACTCGCCCCGACATATCATATGCAGTCCAACAAATTTGTTTATTTATGTATGACCCTCGCCAAGAACATATGCAGGCTCTTTGTAGCATTCTTCGATATCTGCAGGGCACCCTAAAGCTTGAATTGCATCTCTACGATACCCCTCCTTTCTCTCGGCACTCATCTACTACACCGACGCTCGCTGGGGGGGGGGAGGTGGAGCTGCCCTGACACTCGACGTTCAACCTCTAGATATTGCGTCTTCTTAGGTGACAAACTAACAACCTCATCTCTTGGTCTGCCAAACGTCAGCCCACCTAGTCTCGTTCAAGTGTTGAAGCCAAATATCGTGGTGTTGCCAATGTGGTGGCTTAATCATGTTGGTTGCGCAATTTACTTCTTGAGTTGTGGCACCCAATTCACAAAGCTACGGTCGTCTATTGTGACAATGTAAGTGCAGTATACCTCTCGGGCAATTCCATTCAGCATCAACGAACAAAACATATCGAAATGGATATACATTTCGTGAAGGAAAAGGTCAGCCGAGGTCAAGTTCGTGTTCTCCACGTCCCCTCACGCTATCAAATTGCTGACATATTCACAAAGGGGCTGCCACAAATACTGTTTGAACACTTTCGTTCCAGCCTTAGCGTTCGATTACCTCCCGCTACGACTGCGGGGGTGTATTAGCCTATGTATCTGTGATGATGTATTTAATATCATTGTATAGTCGTTTCCTAGGTACTCTGTATATATATGGTACGCTAAGCTAATGAAAGGTCACATATCATATTCCTTCAATCATGCTTACCTTATTTCCCTCCAACCAAAAACAACTTCGTTTTAGTGATCCCTACAACTCTACAAGTAAAAAAAATTTATTATCAAGGAAATTAACTTTCAACCAAACAAAACCTAAGATTAGTAAATTTTTATAAGTTCATTTAAATTCAAAAAAAAAAAAAAAAAAACTCAGGTGAATAATATACATTGTTAACATAAGGTTCTCCTAGACCCCTAGTACCATGACTAGCATCAACAAATATTGTACTTAGTAGACTAAACAAAATCAAGAAAGTTAAACAGAGAAAAAATGACAAATGGCAAAATTCAACCCCTTGAATTTAAAGTTCCAAGCTTTATTGTTCTTGCTAAAAAAGAGTAGATAAACAAATCAATCAACCACCCTTAAAATTAAACCATAATCAATTTCTCCATGTTCATCTCTTAACCCAACTCATGCTATCATCAATTCTTCGTAAACTACCCTCACAATTCAACCTACACATACCAATACCATTTATACCAATACCCATTAAACAAAATCCATCATCAACTTTCTCTCTCTTAATGGATTCCCACTCCCCCATTTCATCTTCTCTAAGACTCTCCGCCTTAGCACAGCAGCTCCGCCTCTACAAACCCCCGTCACCAATCGATGACGATGATGCAGCGGACATCGAAGAAGTGAGTGGCAAGGTTGTTGCACAAGTTGGATTTGCTCAATCTACCAACCCAATTGGTCAGGATTTGGAGAAGGTCAGAGAATTTAAGGAAGATGATCAACAACCATTTAAGCCTAAAAGAGCTGCTGTTCTTGTTTGTCTTTTTGAAGGGGTTGATGGGGATCTTCGTGTTATTCTTACCAAACGATCTTCTCGCCTTTCTACTCACTCTGGTTTGTGATCACTTTTATTATGTTGATTTATTTTAGTAATTTCGGGTTTTCTTTTTTTTTTGTTTGTTGTCGGTTTTCAAAATTATGTTGGTAGGACTAGTTTTAACCTCGTTTATAACGTTTATCATGTTAATTATTATGATTAAATTCTGGAAACTATAATTTGGTGGTACTGCTAAATGGGTCCTAAATATCTTATGTTATTGTAGGAGACTAGGAGGTTAATAATGGCCTATTTTTTACTTGTATGTTCCATGGTTGTATTAGAGGTAGAAGTTTTGGAATTATGTTTGTTATTTGTGTCAAATTTGTTTATTTGATTACTAGGTAAATAATTTTTTAGGTTGATTAATGTTCATAATGATGTTTAATTGAGTGGTTCTTAAATATGGACTGTTGAATGTAGCACAATGTAGCAAGTTTGTTGTTTCTGTTTCAGGGAAAAGTTTAAAGCTTTGGGTATTGAATTTGAGTATGTGTATGTTGAACTTTGTAAATTAAGTATCTGTTTATTGTGGTGGTTTCAGGCTTGAATCATGTATTGATGAAAAAAAGGAGTGTGATTAAAATTAGATTTTTGAATGTGTAAAATTGTTATTTTTGGTTATGAGGGGTTGAGATTTTAAGTGGGTTTATGGTGTTTGATCTCAGGGGAAGTGGCATTGCCTGGAGGAAAAGCTGAGGAGGGTGACAAGGATGATAGGGATACCGCAACGAGGGAGGCAAAGGAGGAAATTGGTTTAGATCCATCGCTGGTGAATGTTGTGACCACTCTCGAGCCATTTTTGTCTAAGGTATATTTACAATTTCATTTGCTGGTTTATAACTTAGTAGTAAATTAGCGAGAACTTTATCATCAGTTCCAGCAGATAAAGGTATGCAGATTATAATATGGAATTATGGAGTGTAGTTAGGCTTTATACATGTCCTACTATCTATCCGGAATCAGTTGCCATATTGCTGGTTCAAAATACACTACCATGTTCGGACAGAGGGGAAATACCTTTTTAGGGTTGTTTTAAAAATTGCACTCAGTTTGTTCCCTATAATCCTGCATGGAACCTTAACCTATTAATCAACCTACTAGATGATAGATTTTCAATGGTGGAATGAACAAAGTACTAAAAAGAAGCTTTAGGTGTTCTCTTCATCTGAATTTCATGTCTTATCTTATTAGTCTTGAACTTTTTAATCCTTATATAATCTTATTATATTGGGCCTTATTAGATCTTATTGGAACTTATTACCCTATAAACAAAAAAATATAGCAACTTATAAAGAATTCCATTGTAAAAGCAATTTTCTACTTGTCAACTAAAAACAAAGTATATGGGAGAAATATGCCCTATATCCAACTGCTTTGAGTGAACTTTTCCAAATAGCATGGAGGGGTATTGTCAACGAGAAGCTGATAACTACCATCTTGATATGAAACTCAGTTCCTTCATGGTTGGATTTGGGATGTTATCAAATGGATCCTATTAAGAAACTTAAACAGTATAACTTATGTACGGCCAGTATTACAGTCTAAAGCATTGAACCATTAAAGCCCAAATCCATGCCAATTGTAGAAGTCAATCAAGTCATGAATGATCACCATTTTATTTTACTTCTATTCTAATTGTATTGACGTATGAAGACTTATTGCAAGATTAATACCTACTGAAAAACCATGCTCTTCTAGCCTTCTAGGAGGTGTCCAAGGATGTATCTGTCTAAACTCTTGACTACCAGAGGATTACAGATTTTATCAAATCTACTTAAACATCATTAAACCACTTGGACAGCAGTTAAGCATTTCTATTAGAGTATGTGCAGCACCCAAAAATCTTATCTAATTGACAAGCATGCCTCAAGACCCTCTATTTTACCTTTTTGGAGAGTCCTGGAGTAATACTTATCTTGCATTGGTCAGGCTTTTTGGTTTAAAATGATGTTGATTTTTCAATTTTCTTTCCTGTTTGAACTTCAACCAAAACTTATTGGTAAATTGAAATTCATATCAACATTTTATACTAAGTTTTTTGTATGTTATAAATTTGTAAAGTGTTTTTTTTTATTTTTTTTATTTTTTTTTAAAAAAAAAAAAAAACCAGTGGTTGCTGCTTCCCTTTGGCATAATCCAGTGGCATTGGCCTATTCTGTTCAGCATTAGAAAATCATATCATTGCTGGGTGATGGACTTTTCAGTTGGATCATTTGGGGAGTTGGTGTTTTGAGTTTTGTAGCCGATTTTACCTTCTGATGTGTCTTGTATGCTACATGTCCTAGACAGTTTCTTGCAATTAATCACAGTTACAGAAATTTATTTCTTACCCAATACTAGTACCCACTGGTACCCTGACAGTATCCAGTTTTTCATTGTTTTGCTTTGTAGTTCTCATGCATTATATGCCTTAGATTTTTAGGTTGGAAAGAATCCCAGAAGATACTAATAATTAGTTGGAAAGAATTACATACTAAGAAATCATCAACTATAAAAGAAGCTTAAAGTGTTGACATAGAGCTGAGGAAGACGGTGTAATTTCTGAACCAGCTTAAGATTTGAAGCAATCTGACCTTTGTGACACCACCTTCATGTTTATGTCTGCAGCATCTCTTGAAGGTGGTACCAGTTATAGGGATACTGTCCAATAAAGATGCATTCAAGGCAGATCCAAATGCTGCTGAGGTAGAAACAGTATTTGATGCTCCCTTGGAAATGTTCATCAAGGTTCTGCTCTTTAGTTTCAGGTTTTCCTTCAACAAACAATACTTCTGCGTGCTTTCTTTCTTTTGACATAACTTGTTGGAATCTTGATTCAGGATGATAATCGCAGAGCAGAGGAAAGAGAATGGATGGGATACAAATATTTGATTCATTTTTTTGATCATAAAACAGACAACAATAAGTATGTGATATGGGGCCTAACTGCTGCAATTTTGATTCGAGCTGCATCAGTTGTTTATCAAAGACCACCGCCATTTCTGGAGCAGAATCCCAAATTTAAGGTTCCTAGCTCTGCTGATAAAGACACTGTTATGCGTTGAATTGATTGAAATAAATTTCAGCTACATCTACATCTCTTAGTTCTATCCATAGTAGAACACGGGAGTGTGCAATATGTATGTAGATGAATTTATAATAGCTGAATGCAATAATATAATCCTAGTAGGTCTGTTTTGGATGTGTCATTTTTTTCTCTTAGTAATGCAATTGGTAAAATATACTTCTAGAAAATGATGCCCAACCTGGCTGACTATTCTGTCAAAGGATTTTCGAGATTTTAGGGGTCAGCACGTCTGTGACACGTGCATTCAAGAAAATTTTTCAGGTCAGTATGAATTCAATCTCTGAATCTATCAGACTTCAGTATCTTGAACTAATTTAGCAGTGTCTTGTTTCTAATTCACTTCTAAGGTGAGTAATAGTCTAACATGACTGACATATCAAGGATTACGAAAATTGAAATACTACCTGCGATTTTTATTATTTGCAACTTTGGAACATTTTATACCTCACAAATAATACCCCAAAGTTGCAAATAATAAAAATCGGAGGTAGTAGAGGTTAGTTTGTACAGAGTATTTTGGTGTTGTAAGGGAAATGGATGGTTTTTTCAAGTTGATTATTTTCCTTGTTACCTTTAGATGTCATTGAATAATTTACAGTAAGTTGTGCCTCCACTGGAACTTACTTCCCTCACTTTATTCTCTGAAAGCATTGATCTTTTACCAAACAGAGCTATTTCCCCCTGCCGAGTTCATGATTTTTGCTAAATCTACATTTCACATAGTTTGTGGTGTTTTTTATGTAATGTTGCTGATTGGTATAATTGTTTCTAGTTCCAGAATAAAGGATGTGAAAGTGAGATGTAAATTAGCTGTGAAACAAGTGATACTATTAGGTATATTGATCCTAATAGTATATGTAGACGAATTGTGGCTCGTTGTAGAAAAAGGTGGCAGGCTACTTGGGGACTCAACATGGTGTACAAGTAAAGTTGATCTCGTACACTACATCGTGGAGATCCCCATGCCTGCAAATGGCTACTGAGCTGTGATTTCCAGACATTATTAGTTTTAGCTTATGGATTGTTATAGGCATTGATTTGTTGAATAGAGTTGATTGCTTCATTTGCACAAGCATTCTAAGAGCAACATCAATTTTGCGCGATTATTAAAGGAGCAGTTATCCTTCAAGCTGATGGAGTAACAATCTGCATAGTTAGAGGAGATCCTGAACCCTGATATCCCTGCTTTGTAACAGAAATATCAGCTGATTTAAAAAACTGTTGAAGTGGAAGTAAAAATGATTTCCTGGGAAATTATTTTTCATATCAATTTCCTTGAAACTCCGTTGTTTATGCTTCTACTCTCTTTACTTTGTAATCCGTAATTCAGAATGATAACTGAAAGAATATTGATTACCCAAAGAGTCAGAAATCCTGTTATATACAAAAGATTGTTTACCAGGTGCGACGTTAAGAATTCTATTTATATACCGAAAATTCATTTTTCCACAGGCTCAAATTGACTGTTCCTGAATTTTCTGAAAGAAATTAACAATTTTTCTCAAGATTTTCTTTTCTAATTTTTCTATGAAATAGTTGGCATAGATTATTTTCTATTTCATGAAGAAAATTAGAAAAGAAAATCTTGAGAAGGTGGAAGAATAATGGGACTGTAAATTGCTAAGAAAATAAATTTGTATTTTTATTGGACAGCATTGTAATTTCTAATGAAGTGCAACAGATTTTAATGTTGGCCAAGATTCTCATGTTGTGTATTCATCACCAACCGTACATAATAAAGAAAATTGGTTAGTGGGAGCCTAAAGTTGGTGAGTTGCCAAATCTGCCCTGCTAGCTTTACAAGTGATCTGATAATGGATGCTAAAATTAAAGCTGGTGGATCGAAGATGTTATCAGACTTGGCTCAACGGCTCCGCCTGCATCAGCCTTATTCGTCTGAAAATGGTATTGATGCTGCCAACATTGTTAGTTATGACAGGCCACCAAGACTGCAGACTGATAGAAGAGCTGCAGTTCTGATCTGCATATTTGAAGGAGACAATGGTGATCTGCGAGTCATTCTCACTCAGCGTTCCTCCACTCTCTCGTCTCATTCAGGTAAGTCCGGTTAATTAGTCGCTCCTCTAGTCTTTCAAACTTCCCACAACAGATCAAACTATAAGTTTTCAAACACCATTTATTTCTTTATAAAGTTATTCTTTTGTTTTTGAAAGAATTATAACTTTTTACCAGTTCTGTAGAAAACAATCCCAATTGAGTGAAGCACAACTTTTATGTGCCTATATATTCGGTGTTGTACCAAAAATGGCAGGTGTATGTTTTTTATCAATCGATCAATCAGTCAAAATGGCAGGCGTATGTTTTGATCATACATATTATTTTGAGTACAGGTGAAGTGGCACTTCCTGGTGGAAAGATGGAAGAAGGTGACAGAGATGAAGTTGCAACCGCGTTGAGGGAGGCAAATGAGGAGATTGGTTTAGACCCTTCACTTGTTGAAGTCGTTTCCATTCTTGAACCTTTCTCTATGAAGGTATCCTCCATTTTAACATGATCCCAGTTATGCTATAGTAGTTTTTATTACATGGAAATCAATTTGTTTGTGTAAATGGTCTATCGTTTATAATGAGGGTATAATGCTGTAACAAACAAGCTGATACACATGGGAACGTGTGGCATGCGCACAGTCCATGTGTTCGGCTGCTTTGGTGTGTGTTGTGTCACACTCACTTGCCGCCCTGATTAACACCAGATAACCTTCTTCTTATGAACAGAATGGCATGGTAGTAGTGCCAGTAATTGGCCTGCTTTTCGACAAAACTGCATTTCATCCCGCCCCTAATGTTGCTGAAGTTGAAGCAATATTTGATGCTCCCTTAGAAATGTTTCTCAAGGTTCAATTTCAATCCCATTCTTCAATGCTGCTCTCTTGATAAATTTTCGATATTTCTTATGGGGTGTGGTGTGATAACTATGTCATCTGCTATAAACAGGATGAAAACCGAAGACAAGTGGAGAGGGAATGGATGGGTTCAAAGTATCTCCTCCATTACTTTGATTATGAAGCCGAGGGCAGAAAGTACGTTATCTTCGCTTTGACTGCTGGCATCTTGATAGACACTGCATCAATAGTGTACCAGCAATCGCCTGCCTTTGTAGAGATGAAGCCTAATTTCTGGAATAAACCTGAAAATGCTAGAACTTCATCCCATCCTAAATAACGTTTAGGCCACATTCAATTTGGGATCGAAATTTATCTTACTTCATAACTTTTTCTGGGGTGCAAATGATCATGCAAAGTTTATGAGAAACACCGAACAAATATAATTTGCATTGCATTATGTATTTATGTTAGGCCACATCAAAATCATCATTCACATGTATTGCTTTTGTTCTTTAAATATCATTGCATATTTAACTTTATTAAGGCTTGAACAAAATTGTGAAACCAAACCGAAAACATGTATGAAACAAACTCAAAGACAATATTAAACAACCAATGCCAAAACTGGACGAATTTTATGTGATTTTAATGCTTCTAGATCGACAATTGGGTTGGAACAGAATTTGATTGATGCATTGGGGAATTTCTCCTTTACCAATTGATATCAATGTTATAGTTGTGGATTTTTTGTTTGGACAAAACTTAAGACATACCCTGATACAGTGGCGGATCCAGAAATTTATAAATGGGTTTAAAATAAACTTTCAACTTAATCATCCCAAAATACGGAGTACAAAGTAATACATTGTCAAAGATGTATCACCAAAAATTATAAATCGTTTTGAATAACACAAAACAAATAATAGGGTTTGTACTCATGAAAAAGATCCATGATTATTTATAAGGGATAACAAAGCAACACATAATTTAAAATAAATTACAATTGTTCTTGTCGATTTTAAATTCTTGGAAGCGCAATATTTGTCACTATGAAAGAAACCAAACAATCGTTGAGCAAATGATCATCTATATTATTTCGTAACTTATAAAATGCTCTTTCTAATTTCTACACTTGCGGTTTCCACAAAAAGAATTATCACCAATTTGATGAACAAATAAACTTGTTGGTGCACTTGAATATTTGATACTTCTTTGTTTTAGATTTTGAGGTGGAAAGAGAAATTAAAAAAATTGTATGTGTGTTTGAGACTTTGAGTTGGAGAGAGAAAATTAGAAAGTGGTAAAATAGGTTTAGTGAAATTAAAAGAATTTCATTTCTTTCAGGACTTGATTTTTTTTTTTCACAAAATGGAGATGCAGGTGCTCCGTATGTGGGCTTAATAGGTCTGTCATTGCACTTATACCCAAATTGTCTTTCTCTTGCACCACTATACATTTGTTGCTATCATAATTCATAATAGAAGTGATCAAGTTGAGCCCGGCCCGACCCGATTTTGGGCAAGGCTTTGGACAACTTTTTCGACCCGAAATTGAGTCGGGCTCGGCAGGCCCGATTTTTTAAAAATTTTGGGCGGGCTTGGGAAATAAATTTTATGCAATTTTAGTTGACTTTTTTTACTCGAGCCGAAAAGCCTGTATGGCCCTCCTAGTTTGGGCGGGTTTGAACACACATTTTCTGGCCTGAAGTTTGGCTCAACCCGATAAATGGGCATGTTTTTTTTTCCTTGGCCCGACCCGTCCTGCCCATTGATCACCTTTATATCATAAGTATTATTAAGGTATTCATATAATGGCAGGAGATCCAAATCATTGAGATTATTGGCAATTTAGAGGTGTCAATTCGGATGATCAAATGGATTTGATGAAGTTGGGTCAGATTAGGTTAATTTTTATAGTTGAGTCATCCTAAATTATTATGTCCACTCGACGAGTCAAAATCTGAATCGAATATATTTCGGATGAGGTCAGGTGTGCTTTTACACCTCTAAATCTCTAATTGGCATCACACACCTAATTAACATGAACATATGTATACGCATCAAATTGTAAAACCAATTGCTTGCAAACTACTTAAGAGTACTACGTAATCTTTAACTACGTGAAAATGAATCTCCTTTATTAGATGACTCAACAGTTAACACCAATGACTTGTACTTAACTTGAACATAATTGAAATTAGAAGCTTATGGATGATGAAATTAACTTTGATACAAAGTAATTTATAAAATGGGTTGTGGTTGTGTTGCAAGAGTGAAGGATAACTTAGATAGTTAGAACCTCTCTCCCATTTTCAAGGAATCTTTAAATCTATTCTTGTTACCGAGTAAGTTGTAAAGCATAATAGTTATGCACAACTAATTTTACATAACAAAATTTTCACCTCACAATATTACTATTGTTACTATTCAGTAGTACTACTGACAGGTGTCCAGTACTATTGAAAATGTTTAGTAATACTTTTTAACCTCTAAGTAGTACTTTTAATTTATTATTATTTAAAAAATTACCATTAATATATATTTGTTAGTGTATAACTGTTATGTGTTTAAATTCTCTCCTCATTACCTATGTAAGATTATCTTTAGATTGGATACTGCTCGTATGTAGTAAAACCTCACCAGAAATTGTATAACACCGTGAAAATCGTAGTACAAAGACTATGTTATTAAAGGTGTTTCCGAAACATACTTGTCTGAGACATTTTATAAAAATTGGATTCCACAGATTTGGTGTATCAAGGGTCCCATTGTACTTTCAAGCCAAATAGTTACGCTCATTTAATTTCTTTTGTATAGGAAAAGACAATGAAATAAATCAATAACACCACTATTCAAAATAATCATCAAACGTGCTTTCATGCCAATAATTGGCAATGAAACATTAAACCTCATCATTAAGCACTTGCTAGTTGTAACGACACGCTTGTTACAATACAATAATATGATTAATATCAAGGAAGTTCAATGGCTTGAAAGATAAATTTATTTGATAGAATCTAACATCAATCTTTGATGCTATAACTTTGGTAAAATTGGACATAACCTCGCTGTAAACAGCAGTTCGCTACCTAATTTTGTTAAACTAGTCTGAAATACACACACCTTTTGGATTGTAGTTCACGAGGGTATGAACATGAACTAGTAACATTAGTAACATTGCTAGGAAAACAACGGGCAGTACCCGGTGTACAAGACTGAAGCAAGCAATCTAAGAAACGTCCTTCAATTACATCCCGAGTAATCTCTCCAAAAAAATATCGTCTATTTACATTATAAATAGTATGATTCTCTTCAACATTTACAAATAGAAAGGACGCTGTAAGGAAAGAAAAAAAGAATACAGACGACATATTCAGCCTCAGTAGGCAAAACATATTTTTCACACCACCCCTGTATACGCAACATTAAATATAGATTGGAAAGAGTAAAAATAGAGCATTTTCGAATGAAAACCATAGAAAATTTTACACAAACGCTTGATGACCTGTATATTTTTACATCTAAGACAATGATTCACGCTTTTTTTCTTGCACTTTGTGGTTTGATTCTTTCTTGGCTGCTTTTTCCGCTCCTGGGAAGGACACCCTTCGACCATTTCCAGTTGCTGCCTTACCGTTAGGTACTGCAGATTTAGCAGGAAATGATTTTTTTGTAGTTGTAGTTGTAGCTGTAGTAGAGTTATTGCTTTTCCGAGCCTTGCTTGTAAGCTTATTTTGGCCCTTCTTAGGGCTGATGGACTGAGATGGCAATCTACTTTCCCATGGACGAGCAGCAATCCACCGTTCCTTCCAGCTCCAACCCCAATCAGCTTTACCTAGTTCAGAAGCATCAGGACCTTGATTTTGACTAGAGTTTGCCCTCCACTGTAATATACACAAAAAGAAATAATAAGCCCTTCTCCCCTAAAAGAAAAGGGAAATCCGTGGATAAAGGTATTATGTAAAGATGTTTTCATGATGCTACATTGAGTTAGTATACATACTTGATGAGAGAATGCATAGGCCAAGGTTCGCTCCCGTTTCACAGCTGCTTCTTCTCTATAATGAATCCTAGCTAGAATCTCCTCCATGGTCTCAGCACCACCGTTCCATTCCACCTAGTAAAGAGACAATTTCATTCAACATTTGGTGAGCTTAAAGTTGTGTCTAAATTGAAATATTTACTCATGTCACATTATTTGCTTCTGTTCCAGTTTTATATCACAATCCCACATTGTCTTTGCATGCTATCCACATTTGACACCTTTACATTACATAATACGCAGTAATGTACAAGAAGCTATTTGAACAGAACTAGGAAGACAAGCATTACACATGACGTTATACTAAGTAATAAAGAACTGAAAGCACACCTCTAAGTCATGTAACTTTGCCTCAAGCTTCATTTGGTTCTCTAGCTTTTTTTGTTTGATACGGCCTTCAATTACCATACACTGGCGACGATCTCTAATTTGAGTTTGTACCATACTCCATAAATGAAGATTATTCAATGTATTTGTCGATTGCTTCTTAACAGACTGGAACTGTGTCAATTTCTGAAATCGCATTACCCCTTTCATACGCCGTAATGCCTTCCTTGCCTACAGTAAAATACAGTAAAGCATTCAGAATTATGTTATGATACAACCCTTACTTGTTATTCCTTGTGTAAGATAGATGTTTTCTAACTCAGTTAGAAAACATACCATATAGGCCCTGAAAGCAGTCTGTATCTTCGTTGCTGCATCATTTTCACTGAGTTTCACAAGAGTGCCATTAGTTTTATTGCTGACCCGACCACCATTAGCACTGTTTTTTGGCTTGTCGGAAGCTGAAGATCCCTGTCAGACAGCAAGACGATTATTCATGTAAAGAATGATGAGATCTAATAACAAGACAGGTATAACCATATAATATGTTAGTTTAACATATCAACCAAACCCAACATCAGTAAGCTCAGAGCAAAGAGTAAAACCCTTCAATCGACCCAGAATTTTGACATGTTTCTAATTTCTTGGTAGGAAATTTCAGGCTACTAGTCAATAAATTTTTTACAACAGCATACTTTCTCTGAAATATTAAGTAAAAAAATTTGTTGAATCTATGTTACATCAACTGCATAAGGAGGCTAAACCCTCACAGCTGATGATTGAAAACAACAGTAAAAGAGAAACAAACAAAGAAATGAACTTCACAGTTCACACATATGTTTGTTATCTCATTTGTACATTAAAGCGCTTATTATCTCATTTGTACATTAAAGCGAATGAGCAACAAGAGGCTAGCTTAGAGATATTATCCACAAATGTTTATTGCATGTGTAGAAAAGGAAGGTGTTACACTAATACTACTTTAGGAAAATTGTTTTGACAATGCCATCTAGTCAAGTAATCATATATAACTCATGCAAATAGGTATCTTTCCATGTTTAAAAGATGTAAGACAAGAATGGCATGCTTACCTTTGATTGTTTTGCTTTGTCAAGCTTCACCTTCTTTCTAAAAATCTTTGTCTTGAACCAATCTCCAGAACCCATTATGAGATCAACAAACCTACTTCAATCTATCTTAGGCCTGAAAAACAGCATATAGCAATATTGTCCATTACTGTAATCATAAAACTATTGTAAGAAATTAAATAGTAGGCTGTATTGCTCAAATTTTAATCAATATTTTTTTAGTCCAATTAAATTAGAATATTCATAAACTCCCTACCCACATCAATGTGTCAAACATCAAACACATACTTGCGATGGAATGAAGATTCGGATCATTATAAGAATACATCACTGAATTTACCAAGTTTCTAATATGCATGCACTTAAAAGATTTATACAAGCATGAGTAGCAATGTAGCATCAAATGCTCAAAGAGTCACAATAATAGCTCATACTACAGAGCACCACAAGCTAGATTATATAACTTGACACCAACAATAAGGATCCTTCATGTCTCGATATATCAGTACTTAATATTTAGCTCGCCTATACTTGAAGATCAAAGGACAAACAAATAGAAGATGTAATGATGCATGGGAGAAGAGTCTCAAAGATGCCAGAAGCAACAAAGTTGACCAACAAAAGCTTGACTGCGACGAATTGTATAGCAATCACAAATATAAATGGGAAAGGGGAAGGAGCATGGAGCCATACACTATCTAACAAGCCACTTGAAAGTGCAGAACAATCTTCTATGGTCTCCAAGGAGATACTAGCTTTAACGTATTCGCTTTTACCTATACTTTTTTTCCCTTAATTATGATGCACAAATATAGCATATAGTAAACATACTACATCCTAAACCATAATCAAACACCATTACGTATAAATAGCTTCATGATAGGTGGATAAACTACATGATTCGAGCCTCAATACATGAATAATTCTTTTATTCAGAAAAATCCAGCACAAGATCTATCAAATCGGAATAGCTAATCAGTTGGTTCTAATCCTAACTTACTCCTTCCAACTCTCAACAAGTAAACAAAGTTATTAGTCAATATCAGTTAACAACCACTCTTCCCATTGAAGGGGGACAAAATAAAATTATTTCCCAGCAAGAACTGTTCCATTACATCTCAGCAACAGAATTTAGCTCATTAATTTAGACTAAAGGAACTATATTACCACATAAATATTTCCTATGTTAAATCTAATGAGACCATATTGTCATGAAAGGTTCCACAATTGGGAAATAAATTTTAGATTTGTAGAAACTTAAAAAAGGATAATACATTTTAAGTATGATTTACCTTCAGGATGATGTATCATCAGTTTACAGTAAAACTTACATCAATCTCTAATGATAATCAATTAGTTAACATAAATCTCATATGTAATGAAAAAAACAAAATTAATCAAACCAAATTTTTAAGGCATATTGCACCCAAAAATCTAATGTGATGAGACCAGTCAAATATAGTACGGAGTAATAAATAATTTTAAACTATACATAATTAATTACATTAAATATATAATTAATTACTGCTAGTCTTCTACAAGGGGTTAAACAACTTTAAACCCATCAGCTCTAATTTCTTGAGCATCAAAGTTAAATGGTTCATCACATCAAAAATTAAGGACACAAAAAATAATTACAAAAATTTCAAATAATTCTATAAAAAAAAAATCAAATGGAACATAATTCATGGGGAAAAAAAAATCAAACTTTCTGCCATTAATTTGAGCAGCTAAATGAACCCAAAAGATGGCAAGGTTTTCCATAATTAAAAATACTCACTCAATAAGATGAAAAACAAGAATTGGGTACATACCCAGAAGAATACAGAGCATCAATTGACCCAAAAAATGAAGAACAAAACAAAATGAAATAATAAAATGAAGATGAAGATCTAAAATGGGAAAGGAATAGTAAAACATACCAGAGAAAACAGGAAAAGTGTCCCAAATTTGGTAGGAAATCAAAGAAATGGAGATGACAAATGATCTTCTTCTTGAGGCTTTGTTGAGTTTTGAGTTTTAAGTAAAAGAGAAGCAAACCATACTCAAACCTTATTATACACTAGGAGAAGACAAAAGGGGAAGTTGGTGTTTTTTTTTTTCGAAATTTTTATTATTTATTTTCTTTTCTTTTTTTTCTTATTTTCTATGAGGGACAAAATTATTCCACATTTTCCATGGATACAAACGATAAAAAAAAAGTCTTTTTTGTTTATCAAAAATTATTAAATGCATGGTGTACGAGCGTTATCTCTTCTAGTAATTAATTTCTAAATTAAGGTGGTTGACAAATGACAAATATGAAGTACTAAGGGCATGTTCTCTTACGTTGAAATTCAATTCAATTCAGTTCAGCTTCTAATTTCTTTCTCTTAATTTCCTTCTCTTATAAAATATTCAGTTCAGTTCAGCTCAGTTCAGTTCAGTTCAGTTCAGCTGAGTTCAGTCAATGAGAACAGGCCCTAAGGCCCTGTGTCTCAGTTCTGTTAAAATATGATCTGCTTAATCCTACTCAGCAGTGTGTGGAAGCCATGCTTTGCTCTAATGAAATTTGCTCTGTTTTGCCTTTTTTTTTCTTTTTTTTTTAAGGATAATGTTAAGGCTATTTTTTTTTCTTTTAAATTTATTTGGTTATTTGACCTCACTTCTAAAACAAACTTTAAAACATTACTCCCCGTTCATTTATTTGTTCTCCATTGCCATTTCTTGGGTCAAACATTGAAAACTTTGACCCTAAATTACCGTTAATCCATAAAATATAATATAGTCATGAGTAGTATTGATAGATTCGTCTTATTGTATATTTTATTGATATTACTTTTTTATGATTTTTATGCGTACGGAAATAGATATAGACGTTTTAAAATGCGTTTTGAAAATCGTGCACAATCAAATGGGGCAAAAAAATAGGGACAAAGGGAGTATTTTTTATTGTACATTTTAGTCCATTTGCTAGATAGTTACGAGTATAATAGTAGTAATGAGAATGAAATTTAACTATGATTTGGTAAGTAATTTACATTTCTAATGTCTGTGTATACTCATCATCAAGTCATCAAACAGACACTTTTCTTTTGTGGTGAGTTAGCTTCCCCATGAGATCATAATTAGGGGTGGCAATGGATCGGATACGGGTCGGATTATGCTCCATCCGCATCCATCCGCCTATGCACATCCATCACCCGAACCATCCGTCACCCGATCCAAACTTCATCCATATCTGATCCATCCATCATCCATGGATGAATCGGGTGGATCGGGTGATAAATGGGTGAAATTCAAGTTCTATTTGCATTCTAATTTTTTTTTTTAAAAAAATATCGAATTTGGAAAATTAGTCCACTTATATCAACACCCATGAATTAAATGGTAGACTGTATTTGATTTTCTATTCTATCGGTGGCTTCTAGATGTAGTAAATAATATATATATATATATATATATATATATATATATATATATATATATATATATATATATATTTTAATTTAATATCTGTTTATATTTATTAAATGGCTAATAATATATATATGTGGATGGATGGATCGGGTGACGGGTTGGATGAAGGTCCACCAGAATCCGACTCGATCCGTCACCCGCTCCGCCTGTCATCCATTTATAATCCGCCTTTGGTCGAGTTTTTATCCATATTAATTTTCGGGTCGGGTGAATCAGTTATTCACAGGTTCGGGTGAAATTGTCTGCTCTAATCATAATAAACATCAAATTGTCTTACAAATTTAGGAACAATTTCTTGACACATAATTTTATATGAAATGTAGAAAATAAAGAAGGCAAAACAAACAATAACTTTATCAAAATAATGTAAAATCCACAATATAACATACACTTATAATTTTGTACCAAGTATGTACAAGTTATTGTAATAAAATTATCCCTAACTTTCTCTACCCTTTTCTTTAGGATTTAAACTTATCCACAAGAAAAATTAACTCTTAATTTTAAAACTCTACATGACATCATCATCTTAAATCTTTTGACAAAATTCTTTGTTTGATCAAATTTGTCTTGAGAAATCTTAACTAAGTCTCAAATTGAGTCTTGAAAACTCAAGACTTAACTCAAAACTTGAGTGTAGGTCCTAGTTTATATTATTTTTATTATTATTAAGAGTAAAAAATAAAAATAAAAAATATAATAATTTATGGTAAGAGAAGTCTTAAGCAAGTTTAGGGATAAAGATGTAAATCTGATCGAGTCTTAACATAATTATAAATTAAAAAAAATAACCTAATAACTAAAGTGACAATGAATTATAGTCTTTAAGACAAGATTGCGCTAATATTACTCTTGAAGTGTTATTGCAACTTAATTACAAATAACAGAGACAATGTGTGTAATCTGTTATGTTTAAGATTATTTTATGTAACTAGCATAGTCCCTGTGCGATGCACGGTTTATAAATCAAATTATTAAACCCGTAGGAAAATAAAAATAAAAACAAAGGTAATTCATTTACTATTAAAGGACTTGTACTAATGGTCAATAAAAAAATATAATTAAAGGAACGTTATTTGAATAGTATTTTATGTTATTTGAATTTCTTTTAATTTTTTATAATGTTATTTTATTAATTGAAAAATAATTGAATAATACTCCACATAGCTATATAAGAAGTGAACTAATTTATTTATATCTCCCGTTGAGAAAAAACTAAAATTTTCTTATCATACCATCCGCATCAGTAGCTACAATCAATCTAATATATACATGTTTTATTTACCCGTCGCACTCATTAAATCTTAGACACAATAATAACCCTATATTTGACCTACCAGAACATATATTTTCCTAAGTTAAGCATTGTGCCAAAAACTATATATTATATAATAGTCATATATATAACCAACAACTGATTAAATATAGTAACGACACAAATACTTCGTATATAGGTATGGATACTGATAATTTTATATAAATAAAATATACGGATTATATATTACTAAGATTTATCCCTACATTAATTATAAAAAGGTTAACAAAACTCTTATAATAGTGCATGGACATTTATATATCTAAAATTGTTCTTTTTACATATATTTTCCCACATTTAATTTTAAATGCCTTAAAATTGTCTCTTGAATTCGCTAAATTGATTTAAAAGGTTATGTTTATTTCAATATTTAAACCCATTTACTATTTTCATTTCCTTTTGTTTTAATTTTTCTATTTAGAATTTACTAGACTATTAGGTTTCAAGATCGAAGTCAATATCTTTTTACCGTACAATCACTAAATCAAAGTCGCTTAACTAAAGTTTTGGACATTGCATAGCTACACAACATCCAACACATTTAATGAATACATGCAAATAATTTTAATAAAACTACACATTCGATATAAGTTATTAAACAATTTAACTATATATACATTTTGATAGGTTTATATCTTTCATATAAACATAAATTTACAAATGTTATTAACATATTTTGAAAAAAAAATTAATTACACTTTGGAGTTTTGTATAAGATAGATAAAGGATAAGTTAATTCCCGTCATATATGCATTGAGTTTTGGGTGTTCTATCCGGTTCACCCTTTGGGCTAATCCAGATTTGAGGACATTGCATAGCTACACAACCTCCAACACATTTAATGATTACAAGCAAATAATTTTAATAAAACTACGCATTCGATATAAGTTATTAAACAATTTAACTATATATACATTTTGATAGGTTTATATCTTTCATATTAACAAAAATTTACAAATGTTATTATCATATTTTGAAAAAAAAAATTAGACTTTGGAGTTTTGTATAAGATAGATAAAGGATAAGTTAATTCCCGTCATATATGCATTGAGTTTTGGGTGTTCTATCCGGTTCACCCTTTGGGTTAATCCAGATTTGAGGATCAGTTCTAGGTTATTAGGTTCCACTCCCCTTCCGATTGTTGTTGCAGGGGAGCACACAGGTCCTCCCTACCAAGTGTAATCTCAATCACCACTATACCAACATGGAGGACACGTGTTATAAAATATTATATTATATATATATACTTTTTTATATTATAAAAAATATTATACTATATACACATACTATTATAGTTAAAAGTATTATTATGTATAAAACAACATAAATTATTGAACATGATTGTTGTATATCTAGTATAGTACATGAGCAATGCACGATTTTTAAATCAAAATGTTAGTTTTTCTAAAAAAATTCATAAGTAATAGCATTGTTAATACGAATATTACAATTTAAAACATGAGTAATAGTTATAATACATTTTATATCTATCCCTTTTCCGTCAAAGGTCTAATTCAATTTAACTTTTATTCTTCTTGTTTAGATTGGTTATTGGTACAGTTTTTTTTTTTTTTTTTTTTTTTATGCAAGAAAAACAAAAGGTCATTGTAAAAGACATTGTATAGAAAATGAAAGGCCGATTAAAATTAAATTTATGTTCAAGATTATGTATTTTTTTTCCAAGACAACATTTCGGCTCGGCATTCAGTATTTGTCAAAGAGTACAACAAACGATAAAAGTAATTTTTACACTATTTTGTATCATTATCAAAAACTTTTTTATTCATCCGATTACTTGAATTGAATTTAGGATAATTTGTAGACTATTTTGGGTAACTTTTATCAATAAAGTATAAATAACTTTCATTCATTACAGGGTAACTTTTATAATAGGTGCACAATATTTTATTGTACATCTGATTTTTTTTTTAATGTTTGTATTGATTCCATAATTGACGTCAAACTAAATATTATCGATTTTATTTAATTTTCATAAAAAAAAACTATATTAGCCTTTCAAAATACGAAATATTTGTTTCCTGAATTATGCCACTTTAATCATATTGCTTCAAATTAGTTATTATTCTTTAACTTAACTATAAATAAAGATTGAAAAGATTTTATGGATTATTTGTAGTATTGGAAAATATATATTTATTATAAAAAAAATAAATTAAATCAATATTTATGTTAGGAAATCATGAAAATCTTATGCATGTATAGAAACTTACTCTTATTGTTTGAAGTTTAACAAAAATAACTATGCTTGAATATGTAAACAATAATTATATAGATATATTTTATACATAGGATAAGCCAATGAGAGAGTGACATTTATCATCCTCACATTGAGACGCTTGTCTTTTAGTATAATATATAGATAGATAGATATAGATATAGATAAATAGATTGATTGATACTATAATTTTACATACTTTT